TCCCAGTCCTCTTCAGGAGGATGTGCTTGTGAGTAGCTTTTTAAAAACTGGCCCAGGAGAGTCTGGGCCACTTTCCACACAAAACTGTGGCTGTAAGGGACGGGGAGACATAGCATGTGCTCAGACAGGGGCCTCTGCTGGCTCTGGCCCAAATTCTTTGGGTTTGTGGGTAAACAAAATCTTCCCTGTTTCACCTCTGTGTGATCTTTCTATATGAGTCAACCTGGGCCTCAAGAGCCAGGCCCCAGGGATGTTCCTTCCCACCCAGCATGTAAGAAGGCCTGGGTGTCTGTGCCAGGTTCGGGCCAGTCGCGAGTATGCCAGAGACATTTCCTCATCAGGAGCTCTTTGAATCTCTGAGAAGCAGTTTATAAAAAATGGTAAAAGGAGACCTTTAAAGTCCTACAGCCAGGACTCTGCTAGCTACTGTTGGGGTAACTTGGGCAAGTCTCACCTCTCTGAACCTGTTTCTTCACCAGTTAAAGGGGAATACTGGCTCATAAGATTATTATATATCTCATAATATCGATAGGAGGAGTCATTGAAGTGATGCATAGATTGCGGGGACCTGACTCTGAGTGAAGACTTACAATATCAACATTTATTACAGTTATGGGGGCCGTGAACCCAGAGTCAGAGAGAGCCTGAAGCTGACCCCCAAGGCTATCACACGTTTTGCATAGTTATAGGCATGCAACCTCCACAGCCCCCCTGCCTGTACACACATGCACATCTTCATACGCATGCTGCACACACACAAACACAACCTTGCATTCATGCTTTCACATCCATGTGCACATGTAAATTCACAAGCATGTCTGTTTATATACAAACAAATATAGCCACACAGATTCTACTTGTAGGCATAATGTGACAGACAGGGCTGCACACACAGGCAAGGGTACACTTATCTTTCCCCAGTGCAGACAAACACATGCACCTGAATTGATATTCATTCAGATGTGCATTTCCACCTCCCCAGACTGTGGTCTCAGGACCACAGCAGCGGCCACAGCCTGGTGGGTTAAAGAACCTCTGCACCCCATAGCAGCCACAGCCAACTCCTGGATCCTTCCATAGGTTTGGCAAGTTCCCTCCTCTTCGTGTCACTGCATCTGTTTTCTGATTTTTTTCCCCCAAGTTCGAAGGGATCGAACTCAGGACCTTGCGCTTTTGAGGCAGGTGCAGTGTCTCTGAGCTAAATCCCCAGCCCTGACTGTTTCTGTTTTCTGCATAGATCAAGCCCTCTGGCTCTTCAAGTTTCACCTCAAATATGACCTGCGGGAAAGTTTCCCAGATGCTTCTTCCAGAAAGATCTGTCCCATCAGCCATGAGTTCCTCTGCCTATTTTTTCACCTCAACCTGTCAGCCATCCCTTCCCCCCAGGAGGAACCTTGAGCTCTAAGAGGGCGGTGATTGTAGCTTATTCACTACTTTTTTTTCCCCCCTTTGGTACTGGGGATCGAACTCAGGATCTTGCGCTTGTGAGGCAGGCGGTGGGACCACTGAGCTAAATCCCCGGCCAGCCCTGAAGCTCATCCCCTTTAATGCGCAACATAGAGCACTGGCTCTGGAATGAGAGTCTGAATTGAAATGAACTTGCTGACATGGGCTACAAGTTACTGTTCTCCAAAAAAGTTAATTTTTAAAAAACAATAAAATTAATATACAAAAAGAGAAGAAGTTACTGTTTCCCCTCTCCACAAATCAGTGCTCAGGCAAAGCCAAGGCCCTATGGCTGCTCACCTGGCTGCTCAGCTCATCCAGTGGGCAGACCAGGACACAGGGCTGTCCTGTATACCCCTCCCGTCACAGAACTCCCCAAAGGCCCTCATTTAGACACTGCCTCTCCGTCCTGCTGCATGTCTGTCCCTCAGGGCAAGACTCGGAGGCCTGGATAAGCCCAGAGGCAGCTCTCAGGGCTTGCTCTACTTGCTTTGGGCAGACAGACACTTGAAGCCCAAGGAAGAAGGCAGCTTTTACAAAGCACCTGGAGATCTACCCTCAGGCAGTGCTTCCCAGAGCCTGGTCCATGGCTTCCAAACCACCTCACGTGCTGGTCAGTGTAGATTCCTGGACCCAACCAAGCCTTCCTGAATCAGGACTGCTGAAGTGACACCCAGGGATAGAATTAGTGGTCAGATTAGTAATACAGTTCATCATAGATGACTTCTGGTTTATCCCTGGCTAAGGGACTGAAAGCACACAGCCTAGTTCAAATTTTGGCAGTGCTATTCACTACCATTGAGGCAAATCCTTTAACCTTTCCAGGCCTATATTTCCTGGCCTGTAAGATGGAGATGATCCTGTTGTCTCTCTGTCTTGGCTGTGCAGCTATAGGAGTTAGATGAGTTCATGAATATGAAGTGGCCAGTACAGTGCCTGCGTAGGTGCAAGAAGTATAGTTTATTAGTATCACAGCTACTTTCTCATGCCATGAGACTTTTTTTTTTTTCTTTCTGGTACTGGTCATTGAATGCAGGGGTTGCTCTATCACTAAGCTATATCCTTAGCCCTTTTATTTTTTTAGTATTTTGAGATAGGGACTCACTAAATTGCCAAGGCTCTACTCAAACTCATGATCCTCCTGCCTCAGCCTCCTGGGATTATGGGCATGCATGCCCCATTTAATGCTCTGGACTTTTTGAGCAAGGGCAGAGTCTTGAGGTTCTATTTCCAGAGGTTCTCTGGGCAGCAGGAAGACTTGGCAGGGCAGGGCCCTTGCCCAGGACACCACACCACCTAGTGGCTGGTGTGTGGGACCATGCCCAGCTTTCCTGCCTCCACCCTGCTAATGTCCACAGACCACTTGCCTCAGCTTCCAGGCTGCCTACCCGCCCACTGGCAGCCTCGGGCCCTGCCCTGCTGCCCTGGGAACCTAAATGGCATGGCGCCAGTCCTGACTTTTCCCTTCACTTTTGTAATAAAAGAGATGGCTCAGATCAGCTTTCCCTGGCAGGGAGGCCACCTGGCCCAGAGTCAAGAGACAGGGAGGAAGTCAGGGGGAACTAGCTCCTTCAGTGACCACTGGTTACAGTCTGGTATTCTCAAGGACTTCCAGAAAACAAACAAGCAAGCAAACAAACAAAACAAACTTGTCCTTCTTCCTTTCCTGGTCCTGCATAACTCATTCATTTCATGAATACATTAATTTAATATTGAAATATTTACTATATTTCATATGCTCAGACTCAGTGATAATCATCAGGGATTGGCCAGCTAGTAACTATATTCAGCTTTGTGAGTCCATCTACTCTGCTATTGTAGCAAGAAAGTAGCTGTTAACAACATGTAAGTAAGTGGGTGGATATGGCTGTTACTCTGTAAACATTGAACTTGGACTGTCATACAGCTTCACATGTTATGAAGTCTTCTGAATTTTTAAACTATTCAAAAATGTAAAAATGATTCTTATTTGCAGGTCATACAAAATAGCGAACAGCCACCGGGCCACAGCTTGTCAGTCTGAGCTGAGCCCTCTACAGCTAAGACCAAGAATGGGGCAGCACTGTTTATGCTTGTATCTCTAAGAGCTTAGGGTTTGGAGAGGCTTAGTGAGGAGGGGAATGTCCCCAAGCCTAGTGTAGCTCAGTCCCTGCAGTCCTCCTAGACTCTGTTCTCTCAGTGTCACCTATGTTACATATGGGGACTCTTGGGTGAACTTTTTATCCTTTAGGATAAAAATCCTTTTCTGAGAGCAGGAATATTACTATATAAGCATTTAAAGTCAAAGGGACATTGGTCCTTGACCATCTCTTAGCTAAGTGACCTCGGGTTATCCAGCATCCCCATGCCTCAGATTCCTCATCTGTAGTGCCTACCTCATAGGTTAAGAAGATGAAGGAGAGCATACAGGAACATAGTGTTTTGGAAATGGTCAGTGTTTGTAGACTCTCCTTACAGCTTCTTTTCCTTCACTCACTCTAGAACCTGGCATGGCTCTGGGCCCAACGTGTGTGCTCAGTGCCCTTGTCAAGTCTTACCTTCCAGAAAAAGGGGAGAAGGTCCCTGAAACTTTTCTTAGGAGCTCACAGTGTCTATTCCCTGGGTTCCTGAGAGGCTTTGCCCTTTGTGTTTATCTTGGAGCATTCCCCTTCTGGCTTCTTTAACTCCAGCAAAAGCAATCTCCCTTTCTCTCCAAAAGCAACATACATGGATGCTCAAGCTTAGGAATGTATGTGTGCACATGAAAAAAACTCTTGGCTGGCTCTGTCCAAGAATGAGCTAAGGAGGAGAGCTTGGCTGGGGATAAAGGGTATGGGAGGCCACTTCCCTTGGCAATCCACAGTCCATGAGGGTGGTCATCCAGCCCAAGTCAAAGTCTTGAGCTTATCAGCAATTATGTGCTTGGTTTGCTGTCTTCTAGAGGAGTGTATGCTGGAAGCTTCACATTTTACAACGTACATCTAATCCATTTTTCCACTGTGACCTTATAATTCCTAACATTCAGGCAAGCTCACCACGCGCCTGGGATCTGCTCTGCCTACAAAAAACACAGATTTGAATAAGTCACTTTACATCTCGAGGGACAACAGGATTCAATTCTCAGAGCTTTAGGAAGGACGTCACAAAACCATAGACGTGAAAATGCTGTTTAACTTCCAGTCCTCAGTTTTTTCTCTGCAAAATGGAGAAAATTCCTCTTCAGCCATCAAAGGGGTTGTGGGTGCGATTGCATGAAGCGCAGGCCAGTGGCAAAAATCTGATAAGGAGGCTCGTGAGCAGTTTCTTCTCGTTTTGGCAAATGAAGTCAGGAACATTAGTATTTCATGGTTGGTGCCTGAGATCCTGAGAGAAAGGGCTTCGGCTTCTGTGACAGCGGCTTTTAATACTAACCGAAATACTTATTTGGAGCGGAGGGAAAATAACGTCAAAGAAGAAGCGACGGCGGCGCAGGCCAGCTAGCCTCGGAACACTAAGAGCCACAACTTCGTTTGCCCCGCCCCTGCTGTCTCAAAATGACCAATCAGCGAGTGAGCCGTCCGTGACGGCATCTTCCAGCGACAGAGCCAGTGGTAATGGTATTTCCTGGTGACGGAACCGAAGGCCATGGGCAGTCAGGAGGTACTGGGCCAGGCGGCCCGGCTGGCCTCGTCCGGTCTCCTTCTGCAGGTTTGGCCCCTGCCCGTGCGTCAGCTAGGATTCGTGGGGAGGGCGGCCTTGGGGCTGCTAAGAGTCCGCCTGCGGGCAGGCCCGGCTCTAACGGGGACCGCCTCTGTACGGGGCGGTCCGCAGGAGACAGTGGCGGTGGTGAGGGGGGCGCCAGGCTAGGAGTTGGGAGCCCGCGTTCAGAGCCTTGGCTGAGCGACTACAAACAAAACTTTTTTTTCTTTCTGAGCGTTCTTATTTTCCATATGGCCGTAGGACAGAATTCGATCGAAGGGCAGGGAGCATTTGGTGGTCGAGAATCTGATATTTTTAAGACCAAGGGGTCCATTTTCTACATGTCGCATCCCTCTGACCCTCAAACGTCTCTCTTCAACTCTTACTCTCGCTGATTTTAGAGAGACTGTAGTAGAACTAAGAACCTGGACCTGGGTTCATCGATTGGAACCATGTATTTGCTGTGTGAAAATGATAGGAAAATGACGTCACTTAACGTCAGCTCTTCATTGATAAATGAGGGTAATAATAGGATAGTTGCAAGGATTGGTTGGGATCATTTGAGTAAATGCACTTAATTCAGTACCTTAGTGTGTACTCAATAAATGTTGGCTGCATCTTTGTGTGACCCTGGACAAGCCCCTCATCCCCACTCTCTACTGTCGCGAGCACGAACAGGTGTCGGGATCCCAGGCTGTGAGCACTTAAACGTCTCACTCGCCTCGAGGTAATGAAAACTACAAGTGATATGTCTTTAAAGGGGTTTTATTGTCACACAAGCAATGCAAAGCAATATCAAAGCAAATGTCACAACCACAATCAGGAGAGCATTCTAGTCCTTCCCCTCAGTATCGAGACAGATGCAATACTGAGGTATAAGCTGTAACAGGGTTATACGACCTGAGTCCGTGACACCGAGCGCCGGGCTGTCGGGCAGAGATTCGAACTGCAACGTGACGATCAGCTCCGGTCAAGCAGGGCCTCCGGCAGCAGTCGGTCAAGTCGCGTGACGCAGCGACGAGTGGCAGTCAGGTCGGGTCGAGATGGACGACGACGACTGGTCTTGGGCTAGGGGTATTTATACCCCTAGCTATTCCTTATCGCTCGGGCCAGGTACTCCGGTCAAGCAGGTGGTCGTAGGGTGGAGAATGTTTTGGGGTTTCCCTTTAGCAAATGGTCGCAAGGCGGGAGATAAGGAAGCAGATGGTCGCAAGGCGGGCTTAGCTAACAGCTGACGGTCTAGGACAGCAAGGCAGGTATTTCTTATCTCAAGCTGTCAGTTGCATTAGGTCATAGCTGTTAGCTAGCTAAGCTGTCAGCTAAGCTGTTGGTTGCTAGTCACACAGGGCACTTTTTGCTTATTGATTCTATTAGTTTCTACCTATTGATTACATGCTCAGTACATCTACTTTTTGTCATCTGCCAGATATGATACATACTACATCATCCAAATACCATCTAAAGATTCTTTCAGTCCCAGGAACTGGTTGTTCTAAGCCAAGTGGCTCCAGTTCTCTGTGTCTCACTCTTGAGCTAATCAACTCTACTTCACACAAGTCCTGAGTCCACCTCCCCACTATTTTAGAGAGGTTCATAGAGGTTAGGAGAAAGAACCCAGACAGATGGACTCCACTTTGAGGCATGCCACTTGCTGAATGGCTGCCCTTGAGAAAATTGCTTGACTTCTGAGCATCTGTTTTCTCATTTTAATTGAGAATAATAATGCAACCTCAAGGTCATTAGGAAGATTAGATGAAATCATGCCTTTTAAATGCTGGGCCTATTACAAGTACTTAACACATGTTATTTTTATTGGGATAATATGTTTTTAAATAGGTAGTATAGCTGGGCGTGGTGGTGCACACTTGTAATCACAGCACTCGGGATGCTGAGGCAGGAGTAGGATCACTGAGTTCGACACCAGCCTGCGCTACATAGTGAGACTCTCAAAGAACAAAAGCAAAAGGCAGTGTGGGAATGAAGTGAGATAATCTACATAAAGCATGTAGAAGACTACCTGACCATGATAGATGTTTAATAAATCTTGGCCTCTCTTCACCTAACCCTGTTTACCTAATTGTTTTTCTTTCATTCTTTCTTCCTTTTTCTCCCTCTGTCCTTCCCTCTTTCTCTTTCATTGAACCCAGGGCCTTTGCTATATCCCCAGATTTTTTTGTTTTGTTTTCTTTTTCTTTGAGACAGGATCTTGCTAAATTGCCCAGGCTGGGCTCAAACTTGCAATCCTCCTGCCTTACCCACCTGAGTAACTGACATTACAGGTGGCTTGTTTTGTTTTCTATTTCACAACAGGGACATACTGTGAGACTTTCAAACCAGTCAATATAAGATATATATTTTGCAATGAAAGTTACTGAGTCCAGTGTTTTACCCATAGTTGATTTTTCCACCTTTGATAATACCTTAATGCTCAGATTGGCTTTTTTTTTTTTTTTTTTTTTTTTTTTTTTTTTTGAGAGCCTTTATTGGGCACTGGGCAAAGGGATTTTATCCTCAAAGCTTGGAGGTGCTGTAGGCTGATCAGACCTGCATTTAGACCTCTAGCCAAATAGGAGCATGGAAAAATGTTGCAGAAGTTTCAGTTTAGATAAACTCTCCTAGTCTTTGCAATTCTTTTTTTTTTTTTCAGCTTTAATTGAGTTTATTGGTACATTTTAGGGATACAGTACAGTTACTTTCATTGTTGGGATCTTGTACCTCTACATGACAGGTCTTGATTCTCATTTTTTTCCCCTTACCCCTGTCCAGATTGGCTTTTTAAGAAGAAAAGTTGTAGTAGAAAAGGTAACTGTTATGGACTGGGAATCAGGTGTCCTCTTTAAGGTCAAGTGGGTTGTTTGCTTAACATGTGACATTGGGCAAATCATTTCACTTTGAGTCTTGCTTGCTTTCTGTGCATTTACCTGGTTGTTTTAAGGCTCATATAATTAATAAATGTGAAAGTGGTTTTTTTGTTAGTTAGTTTGTTTTTGGTATAGGGGCTCAAACTCCAGACCTGAAAGATATTTTTTAAAAAGCCTATGAAGTCCTTTATGAGAATAAATGGAAACTATGTTGCCGATAAGGGCCACTGTGGGCAAATACTGTGTAATACAAGCTACTCAGCTTTTTAGTAGAAATCTTTATTTGAACCAATTAGGAGATGTGGCTATAGCCTGAGACCTTATGTTTCTTGAACAACGATACTTTGAAATTAACATAACTGTGTATATATAGATTTTTAAAAATAGCCACCATCCTTAAACTTCTTGAGTGTTTAGTTCAGGACATTGTGCTTGTGAGGCAGGTGTGGTGCTGCTGAGCTAAATCTCTGGCCCCTAATTTAGTCTTACATACTTCCTCAAGTTACAATGCAGACACTTTAGTAGCCTTTCAATCACATTTTCTTTTGCAAGAATTTGAAATCTTACTAAACTGAGAGCTGTTGTAATACTGATCCAGCCATGGTATAAATATCAATATCCTTCATTTGTTTGCATTTTTCATAAATGCTTTCACCTGTAAAATCTCATTTGATCCTTGAAATCAACTCTAGGAGATACATAGCTTCATTTGATAGAGGAGGAAATTGAGGCTTCTAAAAAATTGGAAGATGATGGGTCTAAGAACTAAATGGTGGATTGAGACTTTCAGTAGAGTATTTGCTGTATAAGGACTCCATGAATTGGCTACCAACCTAGCACTGAGTACAAAATTTGGTTTATATATACACTTGCAAGTTTCTAAGAATAAGCTACAGAGCTTTCATCAAAATCTGAAAAGGTTACTGCCTTAGTTACTTTTCTTATTGCTGAGACAAAAAGTACCCGACACCCAAAATAAAAGGAGGAAAGATTTATTTTGGCTTACAGTTTGTAGAGCTTTTAGTCCATAATCGACTGACAGAGTGGCATGGTGGAGAGGCATTGCAGAGGAGAAACATTTTATAATGAGCAGAGAGCAGCAAACTAGAAAGCAGCAAGCAGTGAAATAGCAAGTGACCACATCAGTCCTCTTTCTGTCTCATATTTTGTCCAGGCTACCCACACTTAGGATCGGTAGCACTTAAATCCAGGGAGGGCCTTCTCATTATCCACTCCCAGAACGATCAGTGGACTGAGTTAGTTAATCTCAGCATCACACACTCTAGATCCAGCCACCCCTGAAAAGCCCCACCTATGACCACATGAGGTTTTCGGGGGACATATAGACACAAGCCGTAATAGTAACCTCTGAGCTGGGTGTGGTGGGGCACACCTGTAATCGCAGCACTTTGAGAGGCTGAGGTAGGATGATCACAATTTTGAATCAAGCCTGGGTAATTTAGCAAGCCCTGTCTTTAAACAAAGGTCTGGAGCCGGGGATTTGGCTCATTGGTTCCGCTGCCTCTCTTCCAAGCATAAGGGCCCCAGTTTGATTCCCGGTACCATAAAGTGGGGGAGGGCTAGGTATGTAGCTTAGTGCAAAAGCCCTAGGTTCAATCCTTGGTACTTCAAAGGTGTGTGTTTGGGAGGGGGCATGTTTTACACTTGACTCCATCAAGGTTAAAATGGCGATATCTTTTTTTTTCTTTTCTTTTTTGGCACTGGGGATCGGACTCGGGACCTTGCACTTGTGAGGCAGGCAGCACAACCACTGAGCTAAATCTCTGGCCCCAAAATAGCAATAGCTTGTTGTGGGAGATGTGCCACAGTTCAGGAACATGTTACTGGCCTGCAGATTTTCAGACAACAGTAGTCCTTTGGCATACTGTACTTTGACTGCATCTTCCAAAGTGCAGCTGTTCACAGATAACCCTGAGAGTGCAGAACACAGAAATGATGTCATTTGCTGCTGGGATGAGAGGGAATGAGCCTTGTGACCTTCCCAGCATGTCCCTTTGGCAGCCCCATTTAGTTGCATCCTGGTTCTCTAGGTCTAATAAAGTTTTTGTTTAGTTTTCCTGATTGACTGATTTGAAAGGCTCCAGACCTATCTCTGTCAGATGACAATAGCTGAGCTCTCCCTCCCTGCATTTTATATTATCTTTTTGTTAGAGTTGTTATCTGCACGCCATGTCAAGCCCTCTGTCAGAAGGGGCAAGTAGCCAGTAGAGAAGTGCAGTGTTTTCTGGTTTCTAATTGAGAAGAGCAAATTTCAAAGAGACTAAATGTCTTTCTTGGAGTCCCTAGATACTACCAGGCAGAGAAGAAAGAATTCCTAGAGAGTCTGCTATTCCTTGTAGGCTCTCTTTTGCTTAATGTGTGTTTCTGAATAGTTTTGGCTTGGGAGCTGGGCCAGGTGGGCTGACTGTAATCCTTTTTCTGCCTCCTAGAGGGCTTGACTTTGAGCCTGAAGAAACTCATTGGCTCTGTCAAGGCCTCCTTCTTTGGTAAATTAGGGAGACTTCCACATGCCTTCCTAGATTCCTTGACCACTGCACAGGATGTTGAAAAACTCCATAGAATGAAATTCCAGGAGAAAAATAGACAATTTGAGCATCTTAGAGGAGATTCTCCACAGCAGAACTTCTAGGTGTCATTACAACACATTAGGCAGAAAAGACACATTGTCCTCGTTTCAGCAGACATTCCTAACATGAATTGTTCTGTGTTTTTGTTTTCATTTTTTCCTCCAGGTGTTGTTTCGATTGATCACCTTTGTCTTGAATGCATTTATTCTTCGCTTCCTATCTAAAGAAATTGTTGGCATAGTGAATGTAAGGTACGTGGGGTTGCACTCTGGCCCTGTCCACAGTTCACATCCCTGGTCAGATTCTACTTGTGAGTCACCCTTAGGTTTTAGAAACGTGGACCTTTACCAGAAGCAGAGTGTTTTGGCAGTGGGCTGAGGAGGAGTGTGCGGAAGTGGGGGATGAGCGGGCGACGCTTCTAATGGACCCATGGAGTGTTTTCCATTAACAGCCTCCAGACGCACACTTCTTTGCCCACTGTTTCAATTTTCTTGCTCTTAGAACCCAGGAGAAGAGTGGGAGTAATTCATTGCAAACCTCATCTCAGGTATAATCCTGTGTTCTTGTCCGCCAGCAGCAAAGGAAGCAGGAGTTCTGCAGTTTGTGACGATATGTTACATAATTGCAGAGCTGGAGCTGCCACCTTCTTTCCCTCCTCAGTGATTTTGTGATTGCGTTGTGGAAACTGGGATCTGAGTTTGAGTTCTCGTCATTGGTTCCTCCGAGGCTCTTAGCTGAACTTGCTTTGTCTTTTAGACTCAGCTTGTTTGTTCTACTCACCTCTTTTCTGTAAAGGGACACCCACGTCTGTTTTATATTCATAAATGACACAAAAGTAAGTATTTTATATACAAAAGTGTATAAAATGATGTGACAGCTCCAAATACCTCAGCTTCTGAGATGTTTCTTTGTCCTGACAAACAAGTCAGTATCTTCTAGACAGCATTTCATATCTGCTATTTACCCAGCACATTGTCTGAAGCCTAGTGGCGTTCTCAGACTTAGATTGGCAAAGATACGTCTGGGAATTTTACACTAGGTAGAACCGAGGAAGGGCCCAGGAATCTGCATTTTACAAGCTCCTCAGGTGATTTTGACGCAGAGACCATGTTTTGAGAAATAGCAATAGTTTGAAAATAGTTTTAAAAGTTTAATAGTTTAAAAAACAGAAAGGAAGAAGCCCATATGTCATTAACATGCTCTGATTTTTCTCCCCATGCAGCCCTAGATTGGCAGGTGCCCACATTGCCAGCTGTTGTGTGGCCTGCCCACCTTGTTACGGTGGGTCTGTCTCCTCATTTGCATTGTTGCAGAGAGGCACTGTAGGACCCTTGCAGGACCCATGCACAATCTCAGGGACCTTAACCCTGAGCTGCTTCCACTCTAGCTTCACCTAGGCTACTGCCTGTTAAGGCAGGGAAACCTCAGCAACTCTTTGCTAAGATTGCGGAAGGCTTACCCAGGTGCCACTCATCTTCAGGGTATCTAGGCAGTCCTTGCTGAGCTGGGTTGCAGCAGCTACTGGAGTGGTTGCCAGCCTTACTGCCTGCCCTGAGATTCTTTGGGCCAGTGCTTCCAAACTGTAGTGTGTTCAGCTTGTCTCACAGGGACTTTGAAGTCATTTCTAGTTTCAGTGTGATCTAGAAGTCCCCATGCTGAGTGGCTCATCCTTTTCTTCTCCTCGAGGTCAGGGCTACTATATGTCTACCCATATCCATGCCTGCAGCTTTTTGGGCCCCTGTAGCTGTTTTTTTTTTTTTTTTTTTTTTT